TCCATAGCCTTGTATATGTTAGGCAAATGCTCTACTACTGAGCCTAGTACTATTCTAAGAAAGATTAACAAAAATATAGGGTTTTTTTTACACCCCCATTAATTTTAAATATTAATATACTGTTATGGCTTGTATCTAGATATCCCCCACAAAGCCTCATACAATCATAAGTGAGACTTTTGGAGGTAGCTATATCCAGGATTTGTGATCCTGGGATTAAGGGTATGTGTTTACTAAATTAATCTACTGATTGATTTAACATAATCTAGATGTGGTTAATGAAAAGGCCTACCCTGGGTGTGGACAGCACCACCCAAAAGCCTGGATGGGATAAAAGGAAGAGGCAGGCTTATCATTGAGGCTTCTGCTATTTCACTGCTTGCTGCTTGCTGCCTTCTGCCTGCCCTGCCATACCATGATCTGTTTCTCCTCTGTGATGCTCCTTTGCTGTGCTGCCCTGCCTTCGAGCCAGCCAACTGTGGACTGCAACTTCTATAAACTGGGGGCTAAATAAACCTTTCCTCCCTTAACTTGTAGGAGTCAGGTATCTTGTCCTAGCAATGATAAAAGTACCTGAGACACATAAATTCATAAAGTTTAATTAAGTTACTGTTGAATTATTGTGAACTAATAAAAATTATCCTTATTAATTTTCTTAGTTACATTGTTCAAATGATATATAATTTTACAAATTATTTGTCTTGTGCAATTTATGATAAACACTTGATAAACCAGATGATATAAGGGTTCTACCTGTGACATCAAAGGCTGATTAAACTATTCAGTTAGTTTAGTTAGCTAATTACTCTTTTTTTTAAACACAAAGATAATTCTTTATGTTAGGGGTCAGAAGTTTGAAAATAAAAATCTGGGAAAAACAGAGTACATCTTTGAAACCTATCTTTAGTCTTTATAAAGCTGCAAATACTTTACTAACTAGCAGTTTGATTCCATTACTGAAGAGAAAACTCAAACTTTTTTAAAAAATTATTTTTAAGCAAAACTGATACATTTCTCTTTAACCAATGCAAAGTTTTCCTATCTGCTGCTTTAAGCTTCCTTCCTTCCTTCCTAATTCTTAGAGACTACAATCTTTCTTTATGCACTTCCATAAACACTTGCCTCGTCTTTTTAGTAACTCCTCTTATTATTCCATGTTGTTTTCTAAAGTTTTCTTCAACTATAGTGTTCTGGATCACAGGATCAATTCCAGATACTGTGTCTTGTTGCATCACTTATAACAGGAATGAAAGTGAGGGATACTTCCACTAGCTTGATTTATATATCTGTGTTATCTGGAATAAAATACTGCTTATTAATATTTTGTAGTTTGAGGAATGTGCCATGCTCAAACAAGTGCACTCTACAACTGAATCAATTTAAAGATATTCCATTCTATTTTGAAGATAAGTTTAAAAATCCAACCCTTTGCTATCAAAAAATCTCAGGCTTCTCTTAAAAAATGAACAACAAACTAACAGAATTTGGGGTACTGCCCAAAGAACTATCCTAATTAGGACTTGGAATTATAATCTATTAAATTGTCCAAATAACTTTTGGTGTTGGAATCTGGCTAGTATGTCTCCAGTTAAGCAATATGATTTCATTGTACTGTACTGTCGCCAAATACAAATGTTCTGAAATCTATTGGCATACAATTGTGGTGAACTGGTCAAGATCTGGAAAGAATATTTTTATACACACATGCATTTACATACAGTACTACTTTTTCATGAATATAAAGAGATGATATATTTTGATGTATCGGCACTTTCTGTACTTGCAAATTGTCTTCCTTTTGGGGTCTAGGGTATAAACTCTTTAGAAAACAAACCATGTCAGGTCTAAATAAGTGAACCAAAGCAAGACAGATCAAATTCTTTTTCTGCAGTTTTGTGAACTGATTTGTAAACCCAGTGACTCAGGTATATATACACACCACGGTTTGGCACCTGTATTTTCCCTGTGTATTTCTCAGCAACGTCATTCTGCATGCTGAAATTTCCCTACCTCTTGTTACTATGCATTCTTCTACAAAATGACTCATATTTTCTCAAACTTTTTTCACTCTACCCTCAGGATTTCTCACAAACTAAAAGGAAGCAAAGAAGAATACATCCTCTTGCCCACTGTTTTAAAAAGTGAGCAGTTTCTTTCCTACAGAAAAGACACTGCGCTAAGAATGCGTTCAGTTAACTAAGTTCCATGTATGAAACATAAGCACAAAATTCTAATAAACTAAACCTGTACTTTCTTCATGCTTTGTTTTTCTTTGTTGCCGATCTTTATTTTGAAGAACTATCAGCACAGGAGACACAGCAGCAGTCACAGCTACTGTTCTGTGAGTTGAGATTCAAGCTCTAGTCCTGGATTCCTCACATCCTCACTCACTAGTTCTGAGTGGGACTTTGCTCATTTGTAAAATAAGGAATTTTACACTGTCTTTGCAGTTTTTAATAGTGTTCAAAAGAATGCAGAAGTGCATCACTGATTCTGCAAGTATCTGATGTTAATTTTACAGGTTCTGGGGATACTCTAAGACTGTAACAATCTACCCTTAAGTAAAATCATATAGTTTTTGCTCCTTAATAAGTTTTATTTTCCTCAGTGACTGATTGCGATCTACTTTTTTATTATGTTATTCCATTTCATAATTAAGCTTCCAAAATGTGGACTCTTTCCTTCTTTCCTTTCTTCCTTCCTTCTTGCTTGAGATACACTTTCATTGGTACACTTCCATGTGAAAATTTGTATCTTTCAAATATTCTGGAAAGTTCTCAGACATTATATACCTTCAAGTACTGTTTCTTCTCTGCCATCTCCTATTATTCCAAATAGATACACATTAAATTGTCTTATTGTGTCCACCAATCTCTTACCTTCTTTTTCATATTTTCCATCATGTGTGTCTGTATTGCAATCTAAAGAAAATTTTCCAACCTATATTCTAGCTCACTGATTCTCTTCACCCATGTCTAATCTGCTCCTTAATCAATTGATTGCATTTTAATTTCAATAATCCCTTTATTTCTAGGTTCCCTGTAGATGTTTTCAATTTTTTTATAACACTATCTAAACACTAAAATCAGTTATTTTATATGATATTTCTTGTTGTTCTAATACATGAAGCTTTTGTGGTTGGTTTTTGCTACCTATTCTTTTGTGAGATCTCATTACAGTGCCTAGTATTCTGATTTTGTTTATAAATTTTGACTGAAAACTACACATTTGCCTTGGCAATTTATAGCTGTGGAAATATTTGGTGGCTTAGACTGAAGCTGTCTCAAAATTAAAAGTATAGAAAGGGACTTAGATCATTGGTAGAGCACCCCACATTCAGTCTCCAGTACCATAAAAAAACCAGGTTAATAAAACAAGAATGCTCATGGAGAACTAGAAAGAAAATATTACTTCTAATAAATGGATTATTAAAAAAACAATAATGCTCCTATTAAATCTTTTACAGTGCTTTCAATTTTTACAAATTTATAATTTGTGTATTACTTTTCTAGTTTTATTTAAATTCATTCTAAAAGTAAATGAAATGTATCTCAACCTTAACCTTCAGAGGTACTAAAACCATATGTCTATTTGTTTCATGCTAGCTTTTGGCTCCATATATTTTCTTCTATCAATGACAGCTTTCTGAATTCATAAAAATGAAACAAAAAAAAGTTTCATGGCACACTCTTTGGACTTTCCTTTTTACCGTAATTTTGTCCTAAAACAAAATACAGCTAAGTCCATGGCTTACCTGGATTATTGTGTTGTAAGAGATCAGCCTCTACCTAAGAGATGACTCCAGGTTATTTAGTTCTTCCCTTGCCTCCCTCATCCTATCTGCTGTAAAGTTAGTGAAGAGGATAGGAAGAGAGCACAGGGCTGAGGCAGAATTGGGGGCATTTTCTGAGGACAGCATCTCGAGTGAGAAAGGTACAGATGCATGAGCAAGGAAAGATGATAGACTGTGCTAAACATAGGAAAGAAAATCAAAGAGATAGGAAAACTCTTGTTTAATCCAGTCTTCTCATTTTTAAGATACTGAAATTTGGAAAGCTAAAGAGATTTGAGAGAGAAAATCCTGGGTGTAAGCTTGGAAACAAGAGACCAATTTACCTTTGCTTCTTCAAAATCAGTTGACTTGATTGCATCACACAGCTGTGGCCTCCAATGTATGAGAGGAATAGGGAAGAAAATAGGAGGAAGGCGATGAATGAAACAAGCTTGGATTGAATAATGTGAAATGTTCAGTCAAATTAAGAGCACAGATCAAGAAAGTCAGCTTCCTCGATTTTTAGAAAGAACATCAATCTAAGAACAAGAAGATCTGAGTTCTATAAAATCCTCATTTCTATAGATCAAAAATTATTAAGTAGTGATAATTTCATATAGTAAACCCAAAGGTCCAGCTCCAGTGTTGTATAGGTGTTTGGAGTTTGGGGAAGAGTTCCCACATTTCTTTGGTAAATGCTATCTGTCATACCTAGGCTATAGGAATTTCGCAAGAATTAATCCAAATTACAGAACATTTACTGAGTGCTTACTATGGATAATTTCTAAGAAAACAATGGTGCAACTCTTGTTTCCAAGGAGCCAGAAGAGTTAGAATTGATAAGCAAATAAGAGAGAAAGCAATAAAGTCTACAGGATTGTGGGTTGTCAGGAAAATAAACTTTTGAATTAGGCTCCCACGGTTAAGGTGAAGCTTCTTGGGTAAATGAGAAGAAGCATCACTAGCAAGAAGAGTCTGAGAAAAGGTGTGAAGATATGATAGTGCATAGGAAATTGAGGAATGGTGAGCCAGTCTAAAAGATAGCAAGTATGGAAGGAAATATGTGGTGCTTTGAGGCTGTTTGTAAAAAAGTCACTGGATGAATCTGCATCTGGAAAAACCATGGAGAAACAAAGAAGTAGTTTACAATTGTCAAGTGCTATTCATCTTAAAAACATAAAAGGAATTTCTAAACACCAATATTATCCCTCCCCTTCTCTCTCAACAGGTTTGTATTGTGTCCTACATCGATTTGTAAGATTTCTTTATAGAGAGTTTTCTCTTTAAAGCTGTTATCTCCTAGATCCAGGTAAGTGACATCTAGGAATTGTCAGCATAGTGGGGAGAGTAGGAAAGAGGAAGTGATTCAGTTTGAGTGAGGAGGATGCTGTGTCACTGTTCTCCAAATTTCAGCCCTTCCTTCTGTACATCACTTATTTCGATCTCCTTCAAGAAAGATGTGAAATCACTGTATCTAAGGGAGCAGAGGATGGTATGAGCACCCAGCCCTCTGTCTCTCATTACTGCTCCCTGACAATGAACTCATCACATTGGTAAGCTTAATTATACTATCCATTTCCTCTCTCCTCTATCACCTAGGACAAATTTAGGGGCATTGTCTTCTTCCATTAACTGGCAAAAGGCTTGTGTGATCGCACCATACCTCACAGGTATTCTTACCATTCAAGGTCATGAAAACTTGATATGGTGGTAATGGAATTTAGGCCCCAAGAACTCTATTCTACCAAGGCTTCCCAAAAACTAAGAAACAACCAGATCAACCTGACACCAGATTTTGGCTTTGCTTTTTATTATCTACGTGGCTTTTGGCTAAGACAGTGTTTCTGAGGTATTATGTCTTCATTTCTGAAAGGAAAAGATCATAGTGACAATAGAGATAAAGCATCTAATCCCTGTAAGATGCCAGAAATGCTGCAGCTGCTATCATTACCATCACCACTACCATTATAAAGTCTCAACTAAAACAAACTCTTTGCTGGTTGTCTTAGTTACTTTTCTTTTGTTATTAAGACAAAATACCCAACACCCAAAGTCAAGGAAGGACAAGTTTATTTATCTCACAGTTTGCAGAGGTTTCAGTCCATAATCAGCTGGTTCCAGGGCAGGGGGGTGAAAGGGGCAAACATTCATGGTAATGGAAGATACCAAAAGCAACCAAAGAGAGGAAGGGGCAAGCCTTTTTTCCTTCCTTATATTGCCTGCAGGCTACCTGCCCTAGGGAAGGTATACACACACCTAATCCCAACACTGGACCATGAATCAATCATAAATTCTAGAAGCCCACTCCCCTGACTGTATGAGGCTTTTGGGAGGCATTTAGACACAAACCATAACACTGACCTCATCCTTCCCTCTTATTGGCAATCACTAATTTAAAAACAAAAATCAAGTCATATCTATATTACTTAAAACCTTTTTCTAGCATTCATTGAACTTTTTTATTTTTCACTTTTTTACTAAGAACTGAACCCAGAGCTTTGTACATGTTAGGGAAGTGCTCTATCATTGAGCTATACTTCTAGCCCTTCACATGATACTCTAAAATCTAAGCTCTTTCTTCTGAACTCTAGGGTCAATGTGAACTTTGTTTTTGTCTCTTCCCTATTACATTATGCTGGCCCATTGCCCACTCTGCTCCAGTCTTGCTGGCCCTCTCAGTTCCCTACACATTACAGGTTCTGTCCATTTCAGGGCCTTTCCCATAGATGTTCTCTGCCTGGAAGGCAATTTTTGTACCTGTTGGTCACATGGTCCTCACCTTTTGGATGCATCTTAAAAGTAACCTTTTCTGACTATACACTACCTTATATAATTTTACCCTTTTATATTCTTCACCAGCTTATTATCACTATTCATTAATAATATATTAGGATAACCATTTGCCAGACATCCATCTCTTTAACAGTGAGTAAACTCAAGGGGCAAAGGAAACACTTTGTTTTTTCACCAGTTTCCCAGTACCTTGCCTACTAGTAGTCAAAGTATTTGGTTATTATTGTCATTATTAGGCAGCAATTTGTGTAATACTGATAAAAATCCAGTATTATTTATGACCTCAGTACTTCAGAAAGATTAAGATTTCCTTACAGGGATTACCTGTAACACAACTGTGTTCCTTTTTAAAACCTTTGCTATGGCAAACAGAAACACGGAAACAATATCCAGAATTTGGAGGAAGATTTATTTAATGTTGGATCAGCAATGATAAAGAATCAATCCTTATTAAAATATCAGTATTTATATCTGGTGGACTATGGCTTATATGGGATAAGCAAGCATGAAGTACAGAGGCAGAATGGCTTGTCAATTCGGGGTTGGTTCTCACAGTATGCATCATAGTGACCAGCTAGGTATCACAGTGACCAGCCATTTCTAAGAAACAGAAGTAACAGAAACTTTTACCTGGGCAACTAACAGAGGCTGAAGTATACTGGATGGGGGGAATGGTCTTTTCTGCCACACTTTAATTAATCTTCTTGGACATCAGAGGTTGAACATCCTCTTTTCTGTATCATCCAAATTTTCTATAGTGTGTACCTTTAATAAAAATGTTTTATAAACTACATTTTAATAAGTATACTTATTAAAAGAAATGAATCTAATTAAAAATTTTTAAAGTAAAATGCATAATAAGAAAACTCAATAGTCAATCTAACATTCTTAAGTGTATCAGTATATTGATAGAGGTATTGCTAATCAAGGAGCGCTGACTGACACACAAAAAGTTTGTGATTTAATAAATGATTTTCCAGTTGATCAGATATATGAAAAAGTAAAATGAAAATTTTCATGTAGTTTTCTCTAGTGCTAATGGTTCCTAGTATAAAATGGAAATTCAACAATTCTTGAATGCAAATTTCTAGAAGACTTCTCCAGCAAAAGAGCAACCATACACATTTGCAACTTTGAAAAAGATTATAACTCATATACTTTGTTGTAGTTCAGAGGTGAATGGTCAACTACAGATTTTCTGTTTATTCTTTTTTGTTTGTTTATTACTTCTTGACAGATTAAAATCATCTTTCATGCTTTCTTCTTAAATGCAGATCATTTCTTCTGGAATGTTCTCCCACATATACATACATACTCCTTACCCTCTCCCTCATTTTCCCTAAATAACTTTTATCCCTTTTATTATCTAAAATGTGACTTTCTCCTAGTAAAACCATTGTTCTCAATTGATAACCACTCCATTTTCTTGTTAGCCTGTTTCCCAATGCCAGTAGAGGAGTTGATGTAGTGTTCAGTTTTCTTTCTACGCTAGTTCAGAGCCCAGTTAATAGGAATGATAGTCCTTTCTAGTTAGCAAATTACCTTTGACCCCCCCCCTTTTCACCAGCTTTTATGCCTCTTTTTATGACTAACAGTTTTCAATACGTCATTCAGAAACCACATCCTGACCACTATTATTACCGGAACATTACTAGCCATAAGTTTGAAAACTTTGGAATTCTCCTGCTTACAGAGAAAAATATACATAACATGAAATTTAGCATTTAATCATTTTAAGTATACAGTACTTGTGGCATTAAATACATTCAGATTGTTTTGCAATCATCTCCACCATTCATTTTCAGAACATTTTTCCATTTTCCAGAACTGACTATACTACTGAACAATAAATCCCTATTTCTTAAATTTTTTTTAATTCTCACGGAGATGTTTTAGACTTCCCTCCACTTATCCTGAAACATTCAAAACATTCAAAATTTACATTGCTAAAAACATTGAGGTCACTTTGTCACTTTACAAGATCCTCAAGTTCTTGTCCTAGTCCTTAAAACTTACCATCTCCTGCCATTCTTTTACTTTTCCTCCTCTCCAACAAAAAGTATGTTTCCTCTACTATGAAGCTGACTTGTCTACTATGGGTCTTACACACACACACACAAACACAAACACACACACACACACCATCTCTTCTGGGACTACTGGATAGATTTTCCCCTTTTTCACTGACTCCTGCAGTGAAAAACACTCAAGCGTCCCTTGTACAAATAAAACATTTGTAATAATATTTTGAAATATGTATTGAGTGTCCCCTGTTCGACAATTATGAAACACTTAAAATATATCTTATTTAATTATCACAACTTAATGAGTTCAAATTATTATGAAAAATTTATTATTTTGAGGAAGCTGGGGTGTTAGAAATATAAAGTAACTTTCTCAAAAACTAGTGAGTAAACAGCATCCTCCCTACTCCATACTACCCCCTCAAGATATCATTTTTCTCTGTTCACACACATCCCACTGTAGTTGTTTTAAAATTCCAGTCATACATAAAATATTCTCTCCAATGTCTCTAATCTCCAACTGAGGATTATAGAACTTGTTGCCCATTATTCTGCTTTTTGAGACGTGTTCTCTCTTATTCTCTTCCTTTTTCTGCTTTTCTTTCTGATTTTCTTCACTAATTCCTTTGCTTTTCTTACTCTTCAAATGTAAGACCCACCAGAGTTCCATCTCTCCACAATTTTCTCTTCCCACTATTTCTACATTAGGAAGATAATGACAAGGAGTACGAGTATGTGACTACTAAATTAGTCCATTGACTGGTTTGGAGTAGTTGTGAGTGTGGTCAACGGGAAGGCCCAGCCTGCGTGTGAATGCTGCCCACCCTAAGGGCACGCTGCAAGGATATAATATAAGGAACAGAAGGAGGGCTGGTGTGGTTGGTTGCTAATTCATTACTTCATTGCTTGCTGCCTTCTGTTTTGCTGCCTTCTGCCCACCATAAACTGTTTCTCCTCTGAGATGCCACACTACCTTGGAGCCAGAAACTATGAATGACATCTTTATATACTGCAAACTACAACAAACCTTTCCTCTTTTAACCTTGAGTGTCAGATATTTTGTCTCAGCAAAGAGAAAAATAACTAAGTCAGTGATCTTTTTTCTTTTATTTTCTTTCCTTCTTTTTTTTTTTTTTTTTTTTGAGACAGGTTTTCACTATGAAGTTCCGGCTGGCCTTGAACTCACTCTGTAGCCCAGGCCGGCCTCAAACTCACAGTCATCCTCTTGCATCAGCTTCTCAATTGCTAGGATTATAGGGATGTGCCACCACACCTGGCCTCCAGCATCTTATAAGATAAATAAATGAATCTGATTCTGGAAAAATAAAGAAGGTAGATGGAGGCGGGGAAGAAGGGAATTGAAGTGTGTTGTGTACCTTTACCACTTCCTTACAGTAAACATAATCATTACACTTTATAAACTTGTAGTAAAAGCCCCCCAAAAGCTTTAAACTTTTAGAAGAAAAGGGAAAGAAAATTAAATAACATGTACTTTAATATACTCTATATTCCAGTTTAAAAAAAAATAAAACTGCAGTTCATGTCTCAGAGGTTTTACAAAAATTGATAATTAAATGTAACTCTTTGAAAGTACTACAATTAAAATAATCTGAAAGCTCTGTTCAGGATTTGGCTATATGAAAAAGATATGTTCCCACACATTCTAATCTATTCACCTAGTCTACTCACACAGCCTCATTCTTCAAATGCTGTCATCCAATGTTGCTTCATCCTTGTGTGTTTATATAAGTAGAATCTGAACGTAACTTCGTTAACCAGTAACCAAGTGCTGACTAAAGGGAATCACATCATCTGAGACAAGCCTTTCACATTTACAATCTAGGTGAGTATCCTATCAGTGTACAAGTATATTTTTTATCTGTTATTGGGAATAGCAGCAAAAAGGAATCAATGGTATTTATATTGTCCTCTATTCTGAAATAATTCTGATATTCAAAAAAAGAAGAATAAGAGTAAATTTAGTTTGAAAAAATGGCAAAAACAGTGGTTGAATATATAAAGTAAAACACTTGCAACGAAAGTGCCTGGCTTTTGGATTAGGACTTAAAACATTTCCAGATTATAATTTTGATATATACAATTCATAAAAAGGTGTTGACTTTCTCTGTGTTAGTGACTCCATCATAAATGTGGTCTTTTTCAGCTTCTTATAATTTTGAGCTCTGAAAGCTAATTTTGGTTGAAAACAGAGTTCTTATGTTCTATCAGGCTAGTCCATGGAAATGATAATTGGAAAATAAGGGTTACAAGATCAAATAATTACTTAAAATAATTAGGTAAGCAAGGTAACCCTGAGTTATGCTATGTAAGATCTGACTTTCCAAGAGATAGGCTATACAGATTGGAATACATATTTCTTTGGAAATGCAACTTTTCATAATGACTAAAAAAACGTTTTTTTCTAGGACATATGTAACTTTGGATAAAAGAGAAAAAAGAAAAAATCATAGCAATACAGTTTTAATGTTAGTAAAGTGTTGTATTAGTATCTACTCTATACAGATACTATCTAAACTATTTTCCATGCAATTTAAAATTTAACTACAATAGGGTTGCCTAACCCACTATGCAATGGTTAAAAATTATGTTTAAAAATTAACTACTTCCGGTGTAAAGTGTAACACTCTGCTTTAAAGTATATAAGAAAATTATTTATTCTGGGTCAAATATGAATGGCCATGGCCCAGGAACATGGATTTAAGTTATCCATAATAACATGTTCCAAATTCAAAGAATTTACATCAAATCTTATAGAAAAAGAACAAAGAAAGTCACATAATGATTTATGATTCACATTATACTCAACAAAATTAGTGTGGGCACTAGGTAGGCAGCCTACAGCAAAGCTGGAAAGTCTTCCCTGTAGCTATCATTTGTTATAGCATTCTGAACTTGAAGGTTAGTGGAGACTGGTGATTTTCTAAATTTAATATATTCCAAGAAGTTTGCCTAATAGTCAGGAGACTATTGAGTTAAATACAAAAGTTAAAAGTAATAGTCATTGTATCTATAAGAGCTAAAATAATTCAAGATAATCTGTATCTGACCGGTAACTTTCCATCTCTCCACAATCAGGATCCTCTTAATCAAGGTTAAACATCCACAGCATCTCTACATAGATGTTAACTCCTTCAGAGAACTGCATCTTCATACTATCATACTTGGAAATGTACTATTTCAAAGAAGTTGGACTACTGCTTTTGTATGAAACAGGCTGAGCATTTGAAGCTGTTGATAGCTCACACCATTAAGTCCCAGTTTTGATCGTTTTCTTTCTATATTTGGGATAGAAGGAAAGCGGACTGGGTCTGGAGGGAGAGAAAATGGGGAAGTGTTGGTATCAAGATCAAAGTCAGGAGACTAAATTGTGGTCCCAGTGGTTTTTGTGACCCTAGGCAAACACTTAAATCTTTCTGTCTCAGTCTATTCAAATGTAGAGTGAGGGACTCTGTAAAATGATGTGTGAAGTTCCATGTTTCTAAGCATTTGTGATCAATAAAAGTCAGAGAATCAGAAGTAAGGGTTTGTGTAAAGACCAGGAGCTGTGTAAGGATAATATTCACAACAAGACTGAGGGATAGAATAAGGAATCTTCAGCTGGTGTACATTTAGAGGATTTCCCTCATTGGAACTGGCTTCACTTGGCCTACCCACATGTAAGAGTCTAGCACCACCTAAAGAAAACAATTTGGAATTTCAACTCTACAGAGTTATCAGGGACAAATATAAAGGGACATGCATAACATTTATTTTCTAATGAATCCTCAAATCTGGAAACTCAATCCTTTAACCTAGAAATTTCTCTCTTACTGTTAGAAGAGCTGATTCATATGAAGTTTAAATTATATCAAATCATTGGGTAATTTTTTTAATGTAGCAAAATAAGAGGCCAATGTTTAAAAACAAAAACCAGTAATAAAGGACTGGTAAAATTCCAGGCTGTAGAATTGGAGGAGAAATCCTGCTCCTCCTACAATCACAGCAACAGTGCCATATCTTGATTATGAAGCCAACTTGCAGTTATAGTACTGCAAGAAATTGTACTGAAAGAATTTGGAGCTTTCTATAATTTACGAGAGAATTCCATATTTTTTTTTTGAGAATTCCATATTCTTTAAATATAATACTGTGACTCGGATTGATTATCAAGGTAGAACATCCATTGAGTAGTCCTTGCCTGAATTAAGTTAGAGACTACAAGATGGTGATTTTTCTAATTCTACCATTTCTTCTGTAATGAATAAATCACTGTATATTTGTTCATCCTTGAGAAAAACTATGGATTTGTGAATTTCTTTTCTACTAAATTCTTATGGTCAATTACTATTATTATTGTTTTTATTTTCATACTCAAATTGTGCCAAATTTGCCCATGGAAGACTCTGCAAGTTAGCTTATGTATGCTTTCAACACCATCTTACTAGTTTTTCAGTGATTCAGCCCTTTCTGGCAAAACAAAATATTCTGATATTTTCCTAATCTGGAGACACTGCAGAAGAAGTTCTAGCAGAAAAAGTACTTAGAAATTAAGTTATGAGCACAGATTTATGACTGAGTATTTATTTCTGGCAGACTCAAATTCAACATTATAGGAACTTTTCCCTTGACTTCATTTTTAGCTTTATATCTCCTATCCCTGACAGTGAAAATTATATAACACTGATATATCTATTTATTTGCTTTGTACTATAACAAAACTATTTTAGAAATTCCATACCAGTATTATCACTGACAATTAACATAATAAGGTTTAAGATTTCTTTGCAATTTTTTTGTTCTGTGACTACATTTTAGTATAAACACATAATCTGAATATTGCATTCAAATTTTACTGAAATAATTACTTTTACTCTGTAGTTGTGTTATCAATGTTATGCTGAATTTGTCACTATTATCTGTTTGTTTTCAAGTTGAGATATTTTTTAATCCAATAGAGGCTTGAAAAATGAAGACTAAAAGGAAATACTCAACCTCTAAAACTTCTCCAGCAAAGCTGAACAGGAGAGAGAGCAAAGTCATGGCAAAATCTTGCAAACTGAGAAGTAAGGACATAAATATTCCTACTTTTTTATAATTTAAAATCTGGTATGAAATCTTTATTACTTCAATATTCATAAATGCTACCTTACCAGAAGCTAGTAGGAATGTAAGAAGTGAAGAAAAACAAAATAGTTAATAAAGACTTAATATGACAGACTTTGGTTTTGAACAGGCTATAGCCAATTTGTGTTTATTTAATACATCATAGGATATGAACAGTGTAGATCATTTAAGCCTATAAATAATGTAAACTTAATTATACCCTTTGATATAAAAGAACTATTTGCTCTCCCCACATCTCTTGTCACCAAATTCCCAACTTTTTCCCTAATGAACTAACAAAACTCTAAACTGATTCATTGTCATTCAACAAGGTATTTGTTAAGACATTTCATGTATTCATGCATGGAGTTTTGACTTGCAAATACTGACAAAGGAGTGAATAATAGGTGAAGATATTTGAATAATCTGGGCTCCAAACAGAACAAAATCACCCAAATGGTGTTCAAGTTTCTCTAGTTACAAACTCAGATTTTAGAATAAGATAAAATGAAAATAAAGTGAATAAAGCTAAGATAAAAGAGCTATCTAATTATCTACCTAGAAAAGAAATCATGCAAATTTATGCACATATCTCCACATAGGAGAAGTAAAAGAAAAGACAGTTAGGGGCCGGGGATTTAGCTCAGCGGCATAAGCATCTGCCTTGCAAGCAGGCAGTCGTGAGTTCAATCCCCAGTACTGATAAAAAGGAAAAAGACAAAAAAAAAAAAAAAAAAAAAAAGAAAAGAAAAGATAGTTAACAGGGCCTGGTGGACCAAAGCAAAAATGGAGGATGAGGAATAACTGTAGAAATTAGAGTATCTTTGTCCTTCATGATTCTTACCGTTTTCCTGAACACCTTAAAGGCCAGAAGAGAAAATAGTGTTAAAGAATATCATTTCTGTTCTCTTCCGTCCTCCCCAAGGCTCCAGCCCACCCACACTGTTCTTTGGTAACCAGGAAAAACATTAACTTGACCAGAGTTTCTAAATAATTAGGAAATCAGGTAAATTAGCCCTTGTAATTATAGCTGAGTCAAAATGCAGAAACAGTGATTGAGTGGAAATGACTCCATGTCACCAAATTCCCTCTTAATAAAAGGATGCATTTTATTTCTAACCCAGGAAGAGCCCTTTGTAGCTACTAGAATGAAGATAAAGACATGCTAGATGTACTGGCATCAGTGACAAAGACAAAATATGTCTCGATATAGGTGCTGTGGCCCTGTTTACCTACACCAGGCAGAAGTCAGTGGTAATCATCAAGTAATATATATGTCTTTGGAATATATCACATTATTGTATTTTTTTATTTTAAGCCTTAAGCAGATCTCCTTTCCAATAATATCAGCTCAGCTTAATATGAAAGTTACAATTAGTAAACACTCCTAGTTAAAATTCAACAGATATCTATGTGGAGTCTGTGACAAGTATAAACCATTTTTCAAAAGTCAAGGTATAAGAAATGTCTTATCTGGGACTGGGGATTTAGCTCAGTGGCACAAGTGCCTGCCTAGCATGCACAGGGTCATGAGTTCAATCCCCAGTACCAAAAAAAAAAGAAATGTCTTATCCATTTTTCTAAACAAATTTCTTCTCTGAGTCCCCAGGCAGAAAGGCAAACAACAACAAAAACATATTTAACTCCTTCTCCTGCCTTAGATTACCAGGATGTGACACAATCTACAGGCTACAAGGTCACAAAACTCATTATCTAATCACTATAAGTATCCATATGTGACAGGAAGTCTCACATTATTTCCACCACCCCCCACCCGACATTTCACCATTGGTGCCAACAGGCTACAGAACTTTATGACCTAGAGGAAAGACCGTTTCTAAACTTCACCCCTGCCCAGTTTCCAGGAAGCTATTCCCCAGAGTCAGGCCTTTTTCTTCTCTTGCTTCCTCTTACTCATATTCATCAACATTTTTTCTTCACTAGTGATCTAGTATCCTCATTCATGAATCCAGCCAGAGGTCATATATGGAAGCCCTGGACAAATTCACCCAACAGAAGTATTTTGTTTGGCTGAATAGTAATTTTGATGTTTTTAACTGAAGCAACTTTTAAAATTTAGGAGCCAGGCATGGTTGTGCGTGCCTGTAATCTCAGTACTTGGGAGGTTGAGGCACAAGTTCAGATCCTGGGTTACACAGTGAGTTCAAAGCCAGCCTGAACTATATAGCTACACAGCTACATACGCTAAAAGAAAAAAGCCTTTGGAGATTTTTTTTTTTTTAATAAGAATCAAAACGTGCAGTTTCCCTCAAAAAATGAAGAGAAAAGGGTCAAGAGATGGGGGGAAGGAATTAAAATGTGCACATACATATTCTATTATGTACATGTACCAACTCCTCATAAGGAATATAAACATCATGTACCTCACACACGTACTAATAAAATAAAGTAAATCTAAACATACAAAAACACTGGACCCATGTCCCTGTGTGGCAGGAGTTGCCTAAAACTAGGTAGAGCTATCCATGCAAAATCTTTGTTATCCAAGGAGCTTCAACTTTCCCTGTGGATGGCAGGGAATTCCCTAAAAATGTTTAACTGGGGAAATGATATAACATTTTTAGGGAGATCACATTGGTGGTATAAAGATAGAGAAAGAGACAAGAGTAGATTAGAATTAGTTAGAATTCTATTATAGTCATCTAGAGTACTAAAGATGAAAACCTGGATCAACACAACAGAATGGAGAGAAAATGTATTTCAGATCTATTTGGAAGGTGAAATTAGTAGGACTTAATGGAGGATAGAAAGAGACAACTGGATGATCCTCAGCTATCTGGTTTAATAAGCGGAGAGATAATGGTAGACAAGGAACTCAGGAGAAATAAAATAGGGGTAGAGATAAGGGAATTTTGATGATGATGATGACTGGCATATTTTAGTTTGGGTAGCTAAAGGTCTTTCAGGTAGAGCTGGCCAAAATTTCATTCAAGACAAAATACACAAATGTAGAGATGCCTTAGGGTTGTTAAGTCAAAAAGCTACATAAAGAAAGAGAAGCAGATAAATGAGAAAGATCAAAGATAGAGTTCCATTTTGGGGAGTTATCAGCCTCTGAACAGATTGAAGCAAGCAAGACTGCCCAGAAAAAAAGTGCACAGAGAAGAGAGTTAAAAAAAAAAAAAAAGCCCTGAGGAACTCCGATATTTTAGGAGCAGACAGAAAAAACTAACAGACACAGATAGACTGATCAGACAGAAACGAGGAGAACCAAAGGATACTCATGACATGGCAACAAGAGAACAGGAGTTCAAAGAAAGATGTAGTCCCCAGAATCAGCCACAGGTAGTTGAAGGGTATAAAGCAGTAAGAGGATGTAAGAGAGAAATTGATTTTGGATCACAATTTCAGAGGTTTCAACACATGGTCTGCTAACTCTGAGGTGGAAACATGATAGAAGTGTGTGGGGAGAAAAGCTACTCAACTCATGGCATCTGAGAAGCATAAGGCAGGGAAAAAGCTCAAGAGGAAGGGGCTGGGGACCAGATACAATCCCTGCAATCATGTTCTAATGACCCATCTAGGCCCACTCAAAAGTGTGCTTTGCTAATCCTAGGTCCCTTGTAAACCAGTCAGGTTGACAACCCAGATTAACCAACACATTATCCCCCTGCCAGTAGCTGGTGTTACAGGAGAGTATTATCATGTCTGGCCATACTTCAAATGTAATCACCTCCCCCCACATGAATTATATTGAGCACTTATCCCACTACACGCTAGCCCTACATCTGTATCCTTAACTCTCTTTTTAATCCCTGGGTTTCTTATTATACTTTCTATCGAATACTTCTTCAGTATCATGACCCTCACTCCTAATTTCCCAAGACTCATACAATACTCCCTACAATCCACATTTGATATTAAACATGACTATCACATCCCTCATGTAATGCTGACCTCAACCTAAAGACAAGCATGTAAGAAAGAATGCATTCAGCATGGTCTTAAGCATTTTAGCTCTAACGGGATATGTGGGCCAGCTGAAAAAGTACTGTGTTAAGTTAGCTATCTGGAGATCAAAGACGATGCTTACTCTAGCACTAGTTAGATTTATAAATTACCTTTGGAACTATAATAGAACTTTATAAATATAAAAAATTCTATTTGATACTTCTGAACAATGTTAGAGAGTTCTGGATAGCTGTGAAAATAGGTGCTGTTTTAAACTATAGGTATCATGGATAATTCTAATTAGTAGATAATTAAAGTATATTCCACTTGACTTTAAAAAGCATTATGTTAGGAAGTCACATCTTCTAGAGGATTAAAAAAATCACACAATGGCTTATTAGTTAAGAATAATTATTTTTTGAGCTGAGAATGGTGGCACATGCCTGTAATCCCAGCATTTGCGAGGCTGAGGCAGGAGGACTGTTGCAAGTTTGAGATCAGCCTGGCTACAAAGTGAGCTCATGGTCAGCCTGAACTGTGTAGTGAGACCTTTTCTCAAAAAGACCAAAAAAAAAAAAAAAAAAAAAAAAAAAAAAACCCAAACAAAAAAACACACCATTTTTCTGCAATACTGTGAACAATTGAAATTTAACAATGTTGTATAATCTTGATAATTCATTTACTATAATCTTGAAAATTGAGATCATATGACATATGTTACAACTGTCATTTCATTTTTAATATATTTTATGTTTGAGACAAGTTTTTCTTTGGATAAATGAATTAAGAATTTCTACTTCAGGGGCTGGGGATTTACTCAGCGGCATAAGTGCCTGCCTTACAAGGAGGTAGTCGTGAGTTCGATCCCCGGTACCGATAAAAAGGAGAAAGACAAAAAAAAAAAAAAAAAAAAACAATTTCTACTTCAGCTGATTTAACTTGAATTTGCATTTTCTTAGACCCTCAGATTGCAGTATAGCGTTTTCTTTTAAAGAATAGCTTTGTTATTAGACATATCTCAGTAACAACTGGCGAGAACCAGCTATGTAAACTTGGGCAAGTGTTCTGCTTCCTAAGAGCCTCAAATTATTATCTATAAAACTAGGATAATAACATCTACCTTGCAAGATTATTATGAAGAATTAAACCAATGATTAGTACATTGCATGGTCAACTGTAGATACTTAGTAAATGGCTTTTTTGATATTTGTAACCTTTTAGACTATAAATTATTAAATGTAAATTATTAAATTGTATTTATTAAATGTATATTCTAGAATTATTATATATTATTATTAAAATTATTAAAATTATAATTTTAACAAAATTATTAAAATATATATTCTAGATAAGAGAAAGCCTCAGATTTCATATGGCCATAAGCACTTCTCCTCATTTAGGCAAAAATTAGTATATATTGGGTATAGGCTCATATTCCTTCATATGAAATCCTGCAAATCAAAATTCTTTCTGAAGACTGAAAGGTTTTCATAAGTCATTTGGCAGCAAAATATGACCTGAACTCATTAGTCCATTAACTCCTGAGCTAAACTGAGGTCTTTATTTTACTCTTTAAATTTTCAGATTTCACTATAAAATTAATGTTTTATTAAAGAGTGCTACACCAGTCTCTTTTGGAGGTGCTACATATATTCAGTATATGCTCCACATTACAATTCTAAGATTTCAAAAACTCTGAAATTTGAGACATGACTGATCTCAAGACATTGAATCTGTACTTGCTTTCTTCGTCTACTACACTTAGGGTTTAAAGGTCAGAATAAAACAGTAATACAATTGTTCCAACTCTTTAGAATCCCAAAAGAAGGCAGAAGAAATTTGCCATGAATACTACATGAAACTTCGCTCTGGTCTTATCATAGAAAAGAAAGCCTGCTACTTTAGGAAAGAAATCACCAAAAAATGTTCACTAAAAACAGGTAAGAGAAACTGCATTTCTTAGAAATAGCAATAGGCATCTATGTAGTTTTGTTTACCAAATCTGAGCTTTTTTTTCTCTCACCCAAATTTTGCTTGGGGAAAAGAGTAAAAATGATGAAGTTTTTGACCTTTTCAAAAAGTATATATCAAGTTTTTAACAGCATGACAGAAATGGTTAAATTATAATGTTAAGCAAAAACAGAGGATACAATAATATGTGTAAATGTGTTTAATGTTTCAACAGAAGTAAACTACAAGGCTAATAGTGGTTGTTTTTTGAGTTTTGTGACCATAGGTGACAAGTTTTCTTCCCCTTAGTATGATTGAGCAGGTATGATTTTCAGAACATGGAGTGGCCAAAGCCCTAGGATTGGCTACCACTGTCAGCAAGCAATCTTGACTGTAGATCATCAAAAGGACATAGCATCTGTTCAGAGTGGAGACTGATGGTTCACTCATAACCTCTTCTTCTTTTGCAGGTGAAAAACACAAAGAAAAATACCAGGTACTTGCTGCCTATTCACAGCCTGCCCTGAATAGCTCTTTCCTTGAAGTACGGAAAGTCGAAGGATCTATTATGGCACCAAATATACCAAGCCCTGGAGGTACGATTGGTCACAAGAGAGAAAGGGGTAAGACACAAGACCCTAGCAAGTGCTACTTCTGGTAGTAGTCCTACATGTGTGTCTTCATGTGTATTGGAGGGTTCTGTCCTTTTGCTGCTGAAGTAGCCCCTTAGTGATGTGCAAGTAGCCCCTTAGTGATGTGCAAACTAGGCGCAAGAGAGTTGATCTAACAATGTGGACACATTCTATTGTTAGCCCTGCACCATTACTTTGAAGTGCCTGTTACAGTATAGACTGGAATCTTCCACACTTTATACCTGATGAAAATAATATGAGATGTGATTAAAATATACAGTGAATGTCTGACTTTAAAAAAAATACACAGTAAAAAAAACACAATTAACCCCCCTCAAAATACTCCTTACATTAGAAGTCCACATAGAAATTCAGTATTTAACACTCTCCTTTAATATTTTGTATATTTTTCTAAGTTTAACTCTATAATGTAAAGAAAATATAGTGACTTTTCTTCTTTTATACTAATTTATTTTGTAGTATTGGAGATGGAACCTAGTGCTCTCATACTGAATTACATCTCCAGCCCTTTAGTGTCTTTTATTTTGAGACAAGGTCTTGCCAAATTGCTAAATTGCCCAGGCTGAGCTCTAACTTGCAATTTTCCTGCCTCAGCCTCCCAGGGTTCTCAGATTACACCACCATGTGCAGCACTGATTTTATTCTGCAGGCCCCATATAGGTAGCCCTAGACCTACTCCTGTTTATCACTGCAGATTTTAAAATTTTATTATTTTCTAAATGGGCATGACATTAAACAGTTAGGAACATGGTTTTAAGTATCTCTGCTATTTTAACACAGTCTAGAACTAGGCTTACATCTGCATTCTCCTGAACTGTTAGAAGTCCTAAATCACTATACTTTATAGATGGCTATTCATTTACGTAAATCTATCAAAGTAAGGTCTTTTCTTTCCCACAGTCCCATACATCATGGGGCCAGAAATAGAGGTTTCCACAGGCAGTGCTTGTCACTTTTTCAGTTTCTTTGTCCCCACCTGATACTCCCATAAGCACTAACATGGCTTTCTAGGGCATTCACTCAGGAGACTAGTACTTTTGAATCTCAACCCTTTGGTTACATAAAGCTTGTGACAAAGTATGGCTCAAATTTGAAAAAAAAAGTCCTTTGTGAAGCACTTCTAAAACTATTTTGCCAAAAGACTTGCTCATGGAAACAACTTTTTCAAATTCTTTTTTTTTAATTTTATGGGAAAAAGATAAAACAAAATTTCCCTGTTGTCCTTTCCTCTTTTACCCAAGTTCTTTTTGAACAATTTCTTCACATTTTATAATATCTATTGTACATGTTAGACTTTATTTACTCTTTCAGTTTCTCACACTAGGGAGACAATATGATGTCTACAATGTGAGTCTGATTTAATTCACTTATGAGTATGGTCTCAAGTTGCACTCATATACCTATAAAAGTCTTAAGTTTATCCTTCTTGATGGCTATATAGTCCTCCAGTGTATAAAAATACATCTTTTTATCCATTTCTTTTTTTTATTTTATTTAAGAGGAAAAAGAGAAAAACACAAAACAAAACAAAGTGGTGTAAGGTTACACATAATACAGAACTACAAAAAAAACATAACAGTAAGAAATCACCTATTAATAGATTACATATTATCATCTTGGAAATAGTTGCTCACATCACAGTATCAAAGAATACAAAGTAGACATTCAAACAGAGAGACTGCAAACAGCTGTGTTCAATGATCCAAAAACATTAATATAGTCAGCTATTTAACACCCCTAAACACACTTGCTGTTATATCCATTAGAGCTCTTTTTTTTTCCTCCCTCTCTTTTTTACAACAAAATTTACACATTTTGGATTTTATTACTCCTTAGTTCTTATTACTTTTTTTGGGGGGGGGAGAGAATAAAGTCAAATATGGCAAAACAAAGCTGTCAGTCAAAACCAAGGATAAACATAGCACATGATGTAAAACAGAGTACAAGGTTATTAACAATGGTTATCAACGTTGTCTCTTGTTTCCTTAAAAAGAATTGTCTATCTCATTAGATATTATAAAGTTGGACAAAACAGTAGAGAACAAGACCAATAAAATTTAGGCATTGTAAACATTACAGGACTTCCAAAGGAGACAATAGTCAAACCAGAATGGGCATCTTAGTGAATCTTATTGCCTTCAAAGTAGTTGCCTATACCCTCAAACTTGATACTATCGCACAGAATAGAACAGTCTAATCAGTCAAAACAAGTTCGTGGGAGTATTACAGGACTTCAAAACAAGTTAATAGGAAATCAAAAAGAGTTACTATTATATATCCTAATTTTTTAAATTTTTCCCTTAATTAAAATAAACATAAGAAATAACTAAATAATTTTTTTAAAGAATAGTAGTTACCATAGTGTCTGTCTTTTTCCTTGAAATATTTGGGTAAAACTTCATATACTATAGCTTCAAATATTTCCATATCAAGAAGCCCAGAATCAAGCCTTTCTAATTAATAAGTGAAAATTTTATAAGGCTTCAAGGCCACATAATGGGGAATCATGATTACCACATATTTTTATATATTTGAATCATTACTTACATTAGGGAAACTATTCGGTATTCATACATGCGAGATTGATTTATTTCACTTATGAGTATGGTCTCAAGCTGCGCCCATTTATTGATCAATATCTCAATGTCATCCTTCTTTATAGCTGAGTAATACTCCATTGTATAGAAATACCACAACTTTTTTATCCATTCCTCAGTTGATAGACACTTGGGTTGTTTCCAAGATCTGGCGATTACAAATTGTGCTGCTATAAACATAGGTGCACATATATCACTGTGGTATGATGCTTTCAGTTCTTCTGGGAATATGCCTAGAAGTGGAATAGCTGGAATAAATGGGATTTCCAATCCCAACTTTTTGAGAAATCTCCAGACAGACCTCCACAAAGGCTGTACCAGTCTACACCCCCACCAACAGTGCAGGAGAGTTCCTTTTTCCCCACAGCCTCTCCAGCATTTGTTGTTGGTTTTCTTGATCCTGGCCATTCTTTCAGGAGTGAGATGGTATCTCAGTGTGGTTTTAATTTGCATTTCTCTAATGACCAATGATGATGAGTATTTTTTCATGTATTTATTTGCCATTTGCATTTCTTCATCTGAGAATTGCGTATTCATCTCAGATGCCCATTTTTGGATTGGATCTTTGAATTTTGGAGGTCTGAGTTTTTTTAATTCTTTATATGTTTTAGACAAGAGTCCCTTGTCTGAGAGAGAGTTCACTAAAATCTTTTCCCAGTTTGTGGGTTTTCTTTTCACTATGCTGGAGATTTCTTTTGACATGCAGAAACATTTTAATAAGAAGTGGTCCCAGTTATTGATTCTGGGAAGTATTTCCCGTGCGGTTTGAGTCCTGTTCATGAATTCTCTACCTACTCCTATGTCTCCAAGGTTTCTACCCAATTTGTCTTCCAATAGATTTAGTGTTTCTGTTTTAATATTCAGATCTTTGACCCATTTAGATTTTAATTTAGTACATGGTGATAGACATGGGTCTAGCTTTAGTTTTCGGCAAATGGAGAGCCAGTTTTTCCAGCACCATTTATTAAAGAGACTGTCGTTCTTCCAGTGAACCTGCTTGGCTCCTTTATCAAAGATAAGGTGGTTGAGTGTGTTTGTAGTTGTGGTTGTATCTTCTAATCTATTCCATTGATCTTCAGCTCTGTTTTGATTCCAATACCATGTTGATTTTACTACTGTTGCTTTGTATTATAACTTCAAGTCAGGGATTGTGATGCCTCCTGCTTTGCCTTTGCTGCTTAGAATTGCCTTTGTGATTCTAGGTCTCTTCTGGTTGCAGATGAAATTTAGGAGTGATTTCTCTAGATCTATAAGGTATGTTGATGGCATTTCTATTGGGATTGCATTGAATCTGTATAACAGTTTTGGGAGAATGGCCATCTTCACAATGTTTGTTCTTCCTATCCATGAGCAAGGGATGTCTTTCCATTTTCTGAGATCATCTTCAATTTCCTTTTTCAGTGTATTATAGTTTTCACTGTATAAGTCTTTCACTTCTTTCGTAAGAGTAATTCCTAAATATTTCATTTTTTTGCTTGCTAATGTGAATAGTCCAATTTCTCTTATTTCCCTCTCTGTGATTTTGTTGTTTGTGTATAGGAATGCTATTGATTTCTGAGTATTGATTTTGTATCCAGCCACATTACTGAATTTATTTATTGTATCTAAGAGTCTTTCAATGGAGTTTAGGGGGTCTTCTATGTAGAGTATCATGTCATCTGCAAACAATGAAAACTTAACTTCTTCTTTTCCTATCTTTACCCCTTTTATTTCTCTTTCTTGCCTAATTGCTCTGGCTAGTACTTCCAGTACTATATTAAATAGGAGTGGTGATAGAGGACATCCTTGTCTTGTGCCTGATTTTAAAGTAAAGGCTTTCAATTTTTGGCCATTTAGTATGATGCTGGCTGTTGGTTTTGTCATAAATGCCTTTCTTATATTGAGGTAAAGACCATCTATTCCAATTTTCTGTAAAGTTTTTATCATGAATAAATGTTGGACCTTATTGAAGGCTTTTTCTGTATCTATAGAAATGATCATGTGATTCTTACTTTTAGCTTTATTATATGGTGGATTACATTTATTGATTTGCGTATGTTGAACCATCCTTGCATTCCTGGGATGAATCCCACTTGGTCATGGTGTATAATCTTCTTGATGATTTGCTGGATCCTATTTGCCAATATTATATTGAGGATTTTTGCATCTGTGTTCATTAGGGAGATCGGTCTATAGTTCTCTTTTTTAGTTGGGTCTATTTCAGGTTTTGTTACTAGAGTAAAATTTGCTTCCAGGAATGACTGAGGAAGGATTGCTTCCCTTTCAATTTCATTGAATAGTTTGAGGAGTGTCGGCATTAGGTCTTCTTTGTATTTCTAGTAGAATTCTGCAGTGAAACCATCTGGGCCTGGGCTCTTCTTGGTGGGTAAGGACTTAATTACATTTTCAATTTCAGTAACAGAGATTGGGTTATTCAACAGTTTTACATCCTCTTGATCTAGCTTTGGCACTTCATATGCTTCTAAGAATCTGTCTATTTCTTCTGTGTTATCAAACTTTTGAGAGTAGAGGTTTTCGAAATAGGTGTTGATGATCTTCTGTATTTCTATTGGGTCTGTAGTGATTTCTCCTTTTTCATTTCTTATTGCATGAATTTGAGCTTTTTCTTCCCTTTTTTTAATAAGGTTGGCTAGGGGCTTATCGATTTTATTTATTCTTTCAAAGAACCAACTCTTTGATTTGTTGATTCTTTGGATTGTTTTCTTAGTCTCTATTGCATTGATTTCTGCTCTGATTTTTATAATTTCCTCTCTTCTTTTGGCTTTGGGCTTGACTTGCTCTTCTTTTTCTAGCTGTTTGAGGTGTAGCATCAAGTTATTTATTTGTATTCGTTCTGTTTTCCTGATGTGGGAACTCAGTGCAATAAATTTTCCTCTGAGGACAGCTTTCATTGCATCCCACAGATTCCAGTAATTTGTATCTGCATTTTCATTTTGTTTTAGGTATTGTTTAATTTCTTCTGTGACCCACTGATTACTCAAGAGTGTGTTATTCAGTTTCCATGTGTTTGTGGGATTTTTGCAGTATCTTTTATCATTAATTTCTAATTTCAGAGCACTATGATCCGATAACATGCAAGGGATGATTTCAGCTCTTTTGCACTTGTTTAAATATGTTCTGTGAGCTAATATATGGTCTATTTTAGAAAATGATCCATGTACTGCTGAGAAGAATGTGTATTCTGATGTTGTTGGGTGGAACATTCTGTATATGTCTATCAAACCCATTTGTTCACAGGTATGATTCAGTTCTGTTATTTCTTTGTTCATTTTCTGTCTGGTTGATCTGTCCCTTGGTGTCAATGGCATATTAAGGTCTCCTGTTACAATTGTGTTACTGATAATTTGAGTTTTCATTTCTCTTAATAATTGTTTTATATAACTGGGTGCTCTGGAGTTTGGTGCGTATATATTTAAGATAGTTATCTCTTCCTCTTGGAGTTTTCCCCTTACCACTATGTAGTGACCTTCTTTATCCTTTATGGTCATTGTTGGTTTAAAGTTCACGTTGTTTGCAAACAGAATGGTTACTCCTGCCTTTTTTTGGATTCCTGCTGCATGAAGAATTGTTTTCCATCCTTTGACTTTCAGTCTGTGAGTATCCTTCTGGGTTAGATGGGTTTCCTGTAAACAGCATATGGTTGGATTTTGTTTCTTGATCCATTCTGCTAGTCTGTTTCTTTTGATTGGTGCATTGAGACCATTTACATTAATGGTTATTACTGTTAAATGCTGGTTAATTGTAGGAATCTTATCTCTCTGCTGTTGCATCTTTATCTTTCTGTTCTGTTTAATTATTTGCTTTGCTTAGTGGTTTTTACCTTTGTGTATCTAAACTGACTTTCAATATTTTTTGCAGGGTTGGTTTGGTGTTCATGAAGTTCTTCAGCTGTGCTTTGTCATGGAAGTATCGTATTTCACCATCTATTTTGAATGATAGTTTTGCAGGATATATCAGTCTTGGTTGGAAATCATTTTGCTTTAGGATCTGGAATACTTCACTCCATGCTCTTCTTGACTTTATTGTTTGTGCTGAGAAGTCTGCTGTGATTCTGATAGGTTTTCCTTTATAAGTGATCTGTCTTTTCTCTCTGACAGCTTTTAATAATCTATTCTTGTGTTGGATTTCTGGGCTGGTGATTATTATATGCCTGGGTGTAGTTTTATTTTGGTTATGACTATTTGGAGTTCTATATGCTTCACTGATCCTGATGTCAGTTTCTGATCTCATGCTTGGGAAATTTTTAGCTATTACTTCTCTAAATATCCTCGTGATATCCTTTATGTTGTCTCCTTCTTTTTCATTAATCCCTATCATTCTTATGTTATTCTTCTTTGTATCGTCTTGCAGTTGTTGAATTGTTGTTTCCTGATTCCTTGTTATTTTTAAAAGATCTTTCCTTTCCTGTTCACTAGCTGCAATCCTGTCTTCAAGGTCTGAAATTCTATCTTCACTTTCATTAAGGCAGTTTTTACAACTTTCAGTGGAGTTTTTTATTTCCTGTATATCTCTGTGCATCTGCATTATGTATTCTGTTTGTTTCTTATATTGCTCATCTAGGGATTCTATCTTTTTGTTTAGTTCCTCCAATTTTTTATCTGTGTTTTCTTTAGATATATTTAGAATCTCTTTCATTTCTTTTATCATTTCTCCTTTTATCTGGGAAATTATTTCGAGTTTGAATTTCTTTAAAGCTTCCTGGAGTTGCTTGTCAACTTCAGTAGCTATTGTGTCTGATATATGAGGTGGATGGGATATATTTTCTTCTAAATACATTCCTCCTAGGGTTTCCTGAGATGGGCTGGAGGTTTGAGGTTGTAATTTGGTCTTTCGTTTTGTCATTTTCCTATATTTCTGTGTTTCAAGTGTTATTTGAAAGCTTCCTCAGGATCTGTTGGAAATCCCCTTCTATGTTTGCAGCTACTGAGACTCTGGCACCATGCTACCCCAAGCCATTGGGCCTGCAGAACCAATGGCCCTCCTCTGCTTGTTCAGAACTCCGCAGTTCCAGACAAGCTGGGCCTCAGGGACACTGTGCGCCCACCTGCCCCTTGGAAGCTCCACAGTTCTTCAATCGCAGCTGGGTTAGGGTACTCACCACAGGCCGCAGTGCCTCAGGAGCCTGTGATCCCTCCCTGTTTGCAGAGATATCCACAGACCTCCAGACAAAGGAAGGGGCTTCTGCAGGCACTCCAGATCCGCCCAGCTCCTCCTCTGCACACCGATGGCTAGGCATGTCTGGGCTCGGGGGATAGTGTAGGCCCGCCCACCCGTCAGGAGCTCAGCAGACCTCCAAGTGTAGCCGGGATGGGGAGGCTGATGTAGTGGTCTCTAACCCGCTGCTCCACTTCACTGCACCCGGAAGCCTGGGGGGTCCGGAACAGTGTGAGATTTGGGCAGAGTGTGCTGAGCACTTACCACAGGTCGAGGTGCCTCAGGAACCTGGGATCCCTCCCTGCTTGCAGAGATATTCAGTCCACCAGACAAAGGAAGGGGCTTCTGCCGGCACTCCAGATCCGCCCAGCTCCTCCTCTGCACACCGATGGCTAGGCGCGCTTTTTTATCCATTTCTTGACTGACAGGCATTTGGGTTGTTCCCAAGAGTTAGCTATTACAAATTGTGCTGCTATAAACATCAAATTTCTTATCATAGGAATTTCACCTGTTAAGGAATCGTTTGCTTCTCTAAGTACATACAACAATCAATCTGTTACTTTCGTATTGGAAAATGGAAGTTATGCGATCTGTGTTGAAGCTGTGAAACACAATCAAGAAAAAGGTAGAATATTTCCTTTTGTCTGTAATTATTAAAGTTATGATAAATTAAAATTAAATATATCAAACCATCAACAATGAATTAACTCATTTGCAGCAAATAGATATCATGTTCTCTGCTAATTCATTTCAATGCAGTGGATGTCTGGAAATCACTGCCTTGAATCAGTAGTTTAGTCAAGGTTCCTCAGAGGAAAACATAGATATTGATAACTGTGTCTGTTGTAAAATGTGGAAAGAGGGGCCACATGTGTTTTTTATTGCTAAATTACTCACTAGATCTTTCTAGCTTAACAATATCCCCCAAAGTATAATCTTTAGTGAAAAAATATGCCATTTCTATAAGCAATACTTTTAAAAATTTAATAACTACTTTGAAGAATTCATCAGAATATATTTATTTTCTGAGATCTTCCTCAGAACCACAAAAGTTTTGCTTTGGTTGGTATGTACTAGATAGGGAGGATATTCTCTGGCATTATATACTATATGATACCATTGAATTTTTTTCATAAAATTACATGTCCCAAAGTAATTTTATGCATTCTCTTTCAGAAAAGGTACGATTGCGTATCTGTGAGTCTCAGCACCCCTCAAATGAATCAGGTAATTTGGAGACCTGGCTAGCTATGATGTTTAAATTCTTAACTTTGAGATAAAGATAAATCCCAAATATCCATAGAAAAGGTAGACAGTTTCAAAATATTCTCTCCAACCCAAGGTCATGGCAAAATTTTAGATTTAGCAAGAATTTATTCCATTTCATCAACTTTTTAGGTTAATAGGATAAACATTTGGCTACATATAATAAATACCTCTCTTAGCCAGGGCTGGAATGATAGTTTTGCTCAAAGTTTGTCTGGAGAAAAAGCTCCTTCTGTTCCACCTTTTTGGCTCTTCCAGTATCTGCATATCAGTAGTTCAAGATTTCCTGCCACTTTAACAATGTCTAAATAGCAAAGGAAGACAAATACAGTCTCTTTACCTTACAATTCTAATGTTACAACTAGCCACAAAAAAGGCAGGCTAGGAAATATTCTGTTATTATATAAGAAGAAGAGGGGGCTGGGGACTTAGCTCAGTGGCTCAAGTGCGTATCTGGGAAGTGCAACATGGTGAGCTAGATGTGGGCACCAAAAAATAAGAAAGAGAGATAAATATCAGGAGACAACTTTCAGTAGCTTTACAGGCAGAAGGGAATCCGACACCCAGAGAAGTGCCCGTAAGAGTCATAATTGTCTAATTGGAAAACATATTTTTTAAAAACTAAATTCTCTCCTATAAGGGATTTAGAAGTTCCTCTATTTATCTAATAATGACTCACTTCATTTGGGTGCAAATATTTCTAAGTAAAGAATGTAGTGATTTTGTTCAACATCTTAAGACTCTTTTCCTGAGTGTTAATTTATTTAAATTGAGTTATAAGTCTTAACTTTATAATTTCTTTTTTCTTAATTTTTCATTGACAGATAAAATTATATATATATATATATATATATATATATATATATATATACATCATGTATGAACTTTTAAAGTATATATACATGTGGGATGGTTACATCAAGTTAATTAACAAATGCACTGCCTCATATAATTATCTTGTGATTGCAAGGTGATACTGTTGATGGTAAGCTGTTAATGGTAAATCTGAGTCCTACAGAAGACAAAAACGTCTGGTTGCATGCCAACAAGAAGGAACACTCTGTAAAGGTAACAGAAATGTGATTATATAATTGTCCTTGGTTACAATATTTGTGTATATTTTGGTATGTGTACAGAGTATTTCAAAGGAATTTTGTTTGTGCTATTTTAAATAAAACAATCAGTTACAACTACTGACGTTTCTGGAGTAGAGAAGGAAGAAAAATATAATACTGTATGTGGCCTTGCTACTCAAGTTAGATCTCTACCAGCTACACAGAATCACCAGGGAACCTGGTAGAAATGCAGGATTTCAAGCTCCCCCATGCCTGAATCAGAATTTCATCATTTTAATGAGCTTCCAGGAGACTCATAATTTCATTAAAGTTTGAAAAGTGCTGCTGCATAGGATGATCTCAAATTCTTTCTATTTGGTTTTAGAATGTACCTTATGTTCTTCCAGGAAGTGTCACAGTGAAAGAATTTCATGCTCCAAGTTTGCTAAAGGGAGAGCAGCAAACATTGTCATCATTTATGGATAGTATAACAATCCACATTCCAACCACAAGATTCACTGCATATTCTTTACTTAATAAATGGCATTATCATATTGGTCATGACAAGGAATTATTAATATTTTGCAGAAAAAAACAAGCCAAAGATAGAAACAAAAACATGAAATTATAACATATAAGATAAATTATATGAATATACAATTGATAAAGTCATGTGAGGCATTACTATACAACATACAGTACCCAGCATTTTCATTAAGAAAACAGTTGTAAGTGTACATAACATAGTGTCTAGGATATATGACTACTCAATAATAAAGCTAACTCTTGCTGAGCTCTCTACCAATCACTTGTTAAATACTTTAGAAGCATTGTCATTTAATTCTAACAGTAAATCTATGATGATGTTGAAGTAATTATATTGGTCAGTTACTATTGTGTAACAAACTATCTCTAAAACTTAGTAGCTTAGACTAATAATCATTTATATTAATCATATGTTTAGGGGTTAAATTGGGAATTAATTGATCTAGAAAACTGACTATACTAAAAAATAGAGCATTGAGAGGTAAAGTACCTAAGGTTTTATAGACAGTACATGACAAAAAAGGAGTATAAAACCAGAACTGCTGCCTCCAGATCCAGTCATTCTAAGATATACTGCCCCTCTAAATACATTCACTATCACTGAACCAAGTTAAATTTTGTGTGCATCCTTTGTCCTTTATCCCCTCCTCACCCCATTCAGTAAGTAAGCTTGCTAGAAATACCAATTGATAAATAAGTATTCACCTTTAGGATCTAACACAGGAAGGAGAAGTTGACTCTGTACTTTCTACTCACATACTGATTGCTTTGTCTCATTTCCTCAGCTCCAAAAGTGTGAAACCACATTGCCAGACCAGGCCTTCTTCGTCCTTCATAGAGAGTCCTCTGAATTCGTTTCATTTGAATGTAAGAGTAATCGTGGAACATACATAGGAGTAAAAGATAATCAGCTTGCTCTAATAGAAGGAAAGAATCCGAGTATTGAGAATATCATGTTTAAACTCTCTCAGACTTAATGCAGTGGAATGCTGTGGGTTCAGGAATGAGCAATTCAAATGTTATCACTGGTAGGGATAAGAATGCTGTAAAATGTTTTGCTTGTTTTGTGTACAAAATATTTTTCTTATCTTTTGGTTCTGTTTTCATTTCCTTCTGTATCACATGTTTAATAAAAGTATGACTACATTAACTACTGATTTTTTTTAAAAAATGGTAATTTTTTAGAAAGATATAACAGAGCCATATCGCAAGTTGCTCTTTAGATAGGAATCCATTTTAAGGAGTTACATCATTTTCCCTGATTCTAAACCTACTGGATAGGCTCAATCGCCAGATCTTTTAGTAAGAAGACTAGATGCTACATAGATTGACCATTGTTCAGCTAGATAAGAAAACACCAAAGTGTGTTTGTAGATGTCCTAGGCAGGACCCTAATTAGCTCTTTTTAACTGCCAAGAGTTATGGCACTTCATGTCAGCCATGGTGGATCAACCTGTACTTCCAGAACTTAGGAGGCCAAGGCAGGAGAGTCATGAGTTCTGGTCCAGCTTGGGCTGCATAGTTAAATGTCTTCTTTTCGTCCAGCTTCTCAAAAATATTGCTCATTGTAGAATATTCACTTAACTTCTGTCCCTTCTTTAGTCCTTGTGACCAACATATACTTAATATATCTCTTGCACCTCATTTTATCTCATCACTACATGCCAACATCTCTTTCCTGCCTTGTTTACCTGATATTTTAAAATTTTACATATACCTACTGATGACAACATTTTTATTTGCACAACTTTGTTCTTTTCTGTTATAAAAGTAAGAAAATGTACGCACAAATATATAGTAGCAATATTAACTACTAAAGTATGTTTTGTTTTCATCTTTGCTTATTTTAAAGCCTTAATAATTTCTAGTGATTCATAGGCTGAACACTTACAGTAAATGATCAACATAGTAACAGAAAACTTGTATGACCATTTCTGAAAGTTGAGCTTTTTAATTTCTAGCTTACTGGGACTAATAGGGTATAACTGCTGGTGAAACAAAGTAAAAGAATGATTGTATAAAATTATCCAATGATATAACAGTATAATTTTTCATTTAACTTGTCAATTTTACTTTGCAGTAATCTAATCATTTCCTCAAAAATAGCAAAGTTTTACCATGTTCATCTGTACAACAGACTGAAAATAATTACTAAGTAATCAAATATATCCATTAACTTGCCTATCAAATGGAATAAACTATTTTTCTGAAAGTGTATGTGGCCAGAGTGATTTTATCATAACATGACTCAATATGCTGGAATTCTTAAGTGAAAGTAAGCATATCCCAATCCATAGATATTGGTATGTGGAGTAGGTTTTACCAGATAAATGTCTGATAATTTGGGACTCAAAAACTATGATCTCAGGGAAGAAATTATGTCTTTTTTGCTATGTCTTTGTTTCCCATTGTGGTAACCAGGACAAAGGAAGTGCTGGGTGACTTTACTCAGATCAGTCAACATGTAGCTGCATCAGAAATTAACCTAAGATTTCTGATACATTTAGATACTTTTCAAGTCAGCTATTTATTTCTTGTGTCATATTTTCATTTTAAAAAACACTATCAACTATTATTATGATCAGTGTTGATCAGTATTCAGATGTAAAAGCCAGAACTAGGTGCACATGCCTGTGGTCCCACTTACTCAGGAGACTGAGACAGGCAAGGACAGATCAGACAATTTAACATGACTGTCTCCAATTTAAAAATAAAAAAGGCCTGGGATGTAGCTTAGTGGTACAGCACTTGCCTATTAATCACGATGCCTTAGGTTTGATTATTAGGACAAAAAAGCCCACAAATATTTCAATATTTGGCAACATTTGGGAAAGGAATAACTAAAAATTTATTTACTATAAAATGTGATCAAGGGGCTGGGGATTTAGCTCAGCGGCATAAGCGCCTGCCTTGCAAGCAGGCAGTCGTGAGTTCAATCCCTGGTACCGATAAAAACGAAAAAGACAAAAAAAAAAAAAAAATGTGATCAAATAATATGGTGAGTGCTGCTGCAGAGGGTCATACAATGGAAAGGTAGGCATCTTCAATATGAGACGCAGTGCCTTGAACATTAACAAGAATGTATGACAAGTTTCCACTTGTCTGGTGTACTCAGTTATGAGTTATGGTTGAGAGAAGACATGTTTTAAAGTGTGCTATAAATTATAGATCACAAACAACACATTTCATTGGAGATGTTAAACCATACTGCATCAGATTCTAGCTTTTTAAGAAATTCCATCACAGGAGATGAAATTTTGGTCTATATTATGATCCTGAGATCAAAGCTCAGAGTTCTCTACAGAAACCACCAGTTTTTATGCAAAAAAGTACACCAATCAAAATCCAACATCAAGGTGATATTGATTGTGCTTTTTGACCCTGATGGAATTTACCAGCAGAGTTTATACCCAGGAATACTATGGTGAATTCTGAATGTTATAAGGGCTTACAGAGGGTTTGAGAAATTATATGTGTAGAAAATGACTTGAGAAATGGGCACACAGCTTCCCTCCAGTAGGACAATGCTCTGTGTCACATACTGATTCTGGTACAGCAGTTCCTGTCAGAGAAAAACATTACAGTGGATCCTCATTCATCTTATTGACCAGATCTGACACTGTGAGACATCTGGCTCTTCCCACAATGAAAGGCCAGTGTTTTGAATCAATTCAGGACTTTGAGGCAGTCACAATAAAGACATTCAGGAAAGACTTGCAGAACTGCTTCAGAAAGTGACCAGAATAAGTGTGTTCAAAGTAAGGGGATATATTTTCAGAAGGGCTAGTGGCAATGTGTCTTCTGTAATAAATTTTTAAAATTTAATCATTCATATCTTTGATCACACCTTGTAATTCATTAATATTATGTAAGTCAGAAAAACGAAAGCTAGATCTCGAGGGAAAAAATCAATGATTGATAAACCTTTGGTTAGAATAATCAGGAAGAAAAAGAGAGAGAATACATATTACTATTATCAGTTATAAGAGATTTGGTAACACTACAGATTCTGAAGATACTAAACATAAAGAAGAGGAATATTATGAGCAATACTACAATAAGCTCGACAACTTTAATGGAAATTGACAAATTCTTCAAAGGCACAAGCTACCAATGTTAAATCCAAGAAGAAGCATCAAGTGTCAGGTCTCTGTGCTCAGTGATCTCATACTAAATAGGGCAAGGAGTCTCTCTTCCCTAACAGGGTGGAGAGGAGGTATTCAGAACAGTTTGCAGCCTACTGCTAAATGGAGGAAAAAGTGGCTAATAGGACCTCAAGGAATCTCAGACTCATGATCTTTTACACTCTTCATTCACATTGTAATTCATTGCCTTCCACCCAAGACCATCAGATCTCAGGGTCTTAGACACTCCTTTATTGACTGCTAAGTCTCTAGGCCATCCATCGTCTTTCCTGAGTTGCAGGCCAACCATGTTCCCAGTTGACTCCAGGACACCACTACTTAGATATGCTTCAGAGTCTCCAAATTCAATACAACCTCAACCAAATGTACTTTTCTTCTATCCCATCACCAGAGTCACTCTCTTTATGTCTGTATAATCAACATTTAACACAGTGTCCTAGCACTTTCAATAGTTTATTACTAAATACTTAAAGCAGTCAGACAGGCCTTTAATGATTCTGGTTTACTTTCTCCAGCTACTTGTTGCTTTGTTCCTTAATTCAGAGATTCTTAAACATTAACATGTATAAGGATCATCTGGAAAGCTTGTTAAAACACATTGTCTGAGCCCCAATCTCTGATTTATTAAGTCAAGGCATGACATATAAATTTGTAATTCTTACAATCTTACAAGTGATGGCAATGCTGCTGCTCAGAAGATCATGCTTTAGAATCACTGTTCCAGATCATGTAAGTACATGGTCACTGATCACCTGGACTTTAGGTTTCTATTCTGATCATTCTCTTTTGTAGCAAGTCTTTTTGGGACTCTGATAACTTTTTCTCTGAATTCTGATACCTGGAGTAGCTTGTCAGCCAAATTTCTCATTTTTACTGCCAAGTCAAACTTGCTATTGATATTTAAACTTTCCTAGTTCTCCTCTCTTGCCTAAACTAAAAATCCTGAGCTTCCCAATTTTCAGTTCTGCCATTGAGCCTAACATTTGCAAAGGCTGGAATCAAAAGTGATGACCATATTATATAAGGCTGAATTTGTTAAAGACAAAAATTCTTAGTTTCTCCTTAAATTACATGGCATGTTCAAAGCTTCACTAACACAATGAGTCTAAGGAGAAGGATATCATTTTATGGCCTATCTACTAAACACATTTGAGCAGGGCCTTTCTAGAAACCACAGAACTAATCAATGAAAACAGGCATGGGATGTGGGTTGGACTTCCATATTAATGGACACATGATGGACAGCCAAAAGCATAAGCTTTGGTAGTAGAAATCTGGAGTCTAATCTGACTTTCTGCCAGCTATTGAACTTCATTCATATACTCACAACCTCTATCTCTTTGCCTATGAAATGGGGCTAATATATCCCTTAATGTTCTAGAGGAGATAGAAAAAGGAAATGGCTATAAGTATCTATTTTATTAGAATCAGTCAGTATAAACTGTTTCTTCCTTTCCATATTCACTTATTATTTAATCCCCAATAGGCCTTTTCTCTAACCCAAGGAAAACATCTCAGGGAGTCATATTCAAGAAAAACAAATAAAGATGCATTTGTTTGCCTCAAAAGGACTGGCAAGTGCTTCCTCAGGTCAGAACATTGTAGTTAAATAGGTCCTCAAATGGAAGTGTCTTGTAAAGTTAAACACAAGCAAGAAAACTAAATATTTTCCTACTTTTTTGATGGTGATTATAAGATGCTTCTGGGATCTGGGAGAACATGGCAGACAGATAACAGCAGCTATGGAGGCTCTCTGAAAGACCCAGCTTAGGATCCAGGAATGGTGCAGAGTGAGGAATCCTAAGCAAGAGAGGGGATATGCCCTGCTGACCCAAGAATGAACTGGGCTGAGAGAAACCAACTGGGAATGCAATCCTGGTGTTATAACAGGAACAGATAAAGCCTCAGCGTGGAAGCTGGAGCCCGTGCCATTGGAAACCGCGATTTGGGTTTCCTACCGCCACGGCTGCATCTGAATCAGCTCGGCAGGGAGAGAGACGTGCGAAAGCTCTGAGAACAGGAATCGGTCAACAGAGTTGAGAGCGGGATGGGTGGAGAGCTGTGCATCAACCTGCGGTGAGTGAGAGAAAGTGGGACTCTTTCATGATCTAGGAGGCTCCAACAGAGGACATTCTGGGACCAGGCAGACTTGCCGGAACAGGGTGCTGTAGTGACTTCAGTCACATATCCCCCTCTCAAGCGGGATTGGAGAGCAGTGCCTAGCTTACCTGACGCTGCTGGCTGAGACCCAGTAGGCTAGCACAGCCCAGGTCCCAGCGCCTGAAGGTGACATGGAGGGGCACGCCCCGCATAGGCTGACTGGTCTGTAACTCCCTGGTGCACTGAGGTGGGTGGGAACACCTAGCCAGCACAATTCAATCAGACTGTGGCCAACAGGGAAGGAAGCTGGGCCTCCTATATAGGCTGGCGTATATAAGGAACAAAGAATATGGGAAGAGGGAGGAATAAGAAAGGCCCCTCAGCCCCCAATCCTGAGAAACAGGCAATAGCAGACACTGCACCAATAAAGCGCTATCTCCAGAGCCTCATAGACGAGTTCAGGAATGAAGTTATTAATGACCGGAAGCTAGACATAAGCAGAATAGTTAGAGAAATGCTAAGCACCACCCAAGAAAAAACATATGGTGGAATGGAAGAACAGAAAAAGTGGGGAGAATTGTTTGATGGAGAAAATAGAGAAAGCATAGAATATGTGAACCAGGTTCAAAGAGATTACCAGGAAACTAAAAACTCTATCGAAAGCTGGCATAACAGCTTGAAAGAAACTAAGGATAGATTATTTGAACTGGAGAACAGATTTGTAATATGGGAGCATGAAATGAAAAACTTCTTAAAAATAACAAAGAAACAAACAGCAATAATACAAAGACTAGAAGATGATAAGAGGATTTATAACTTAAGAATTAAGAACATGAAAGAAGAGGTAGGGACACAAACAAATGAACTACAAAAGCTACTCTCAGAAATAATCCAGGAGAATTTTCCTAATTTGGCAAAAGGTAAACATACTCAGATGTATGAAGCATTCAGGACCCCAGCCACCTAC